TATTTCTTCAGACAGAAAGTGATTTCATTCTTTAATTTCCAAATTTAGGTTATAAACCTTTTGTCAATTTTGGCATTTTTCTTGGATATTTTCTGTATTGTAGAGAATAAGCTATATGTCAGAGAAGGGGGAATTAAAGTTCTTATGTATTGTGGGGTTTTGAAGCTGCTCTAATCTAAAAAAAACTTTATAAGACTGAATACCCTTAGCCACAGGATAGATTGATTGAGCAATTAAGTTTAATCCAAGCATAAATATTGTAGCTAATAAAACACAAATGTTTACAATCTGTCTGGAATTAAATGCAGAAGTGATAGGATTCATATAGGAGGTTCTTGTCCAAAAATTATTCTTGTCATTTAAGTATCACAGAAATGTTTAATTAAGAATATCATGTGTCTTTTTTTACTTGTGTAAATGCCATTTTAATAACTGTGATGGGTCTTGTCACAGACAACAAGGACTTGAAGACAGAGAGAAAGAAAATTTCCTGGATCAGCTTGCAAGGTATTTTCAGTTAAGATACATTGTGGAATACAGGGGATGCAACAAAAATAGATCATAAGCTGATTTGATTGGGTCATTTTTATAGCCTTCCTTAATTGCGAATATAGTGACACATATTCCTAAAAAAAATTGGCCTTATTTCAGAGATGTTTGCAGCACCCTGTGCAAAGGAACACCTGTCTTTGCCAGCTCAGATGCTGGCTGTTGCCTTTATGTAGTGGGGAAAAAAGAGGGCATGTGTACAGAAATTATCGCAGTGGTTGATTGCACTGCCTAAATTGGTAACACTGATGATGAGCATGTATTTGTTTTATTCACTTATTACAATCATTTTTATCCATTTTCAAACAAGTGAATCTATGTAGCTTAAAGAATATATACACACAGGCACACACAGACACACATGTATAGATCAAATAAATTCCAATGAATCATACTTCAGGCCAGACATATGATTCTTACAGTGGAAGTTACTTTATACAATCTAGCACAGTGTAAACTGTTCTGATCAGCAGTGGTTCCTCAGGGCAGCATCCTTCAACAAGTTAGTTAATTAGTTAGTTAGTTAGTTAATGAAGGTAACCCTCTCAACAGCCACTGCAAATTTTGTATGAGCTCAATAAGATTTTCTCCAGCCAAGTATCAGGAAATGTGAAAATTGGCATCTAGACCAAGCTTTCCCCCCCCCCCCCAATTATTCCCTGGTACATTTATTCTTGTGGCTCAAGAAAATGTAACAAAAGACATTAATTAGATCAGGGGTTCTCAACCTTGGCAACTTTAAGACTTGTGGACTTCAAGTCCCAGAATTCCTCAGCCAGCAAAGCTGGCTGAGGAATTCTGGGAGTTGAAGTCCACAAGTCTTAAAATTGCCAAGGTTGAGAACCCCTGAATTAGATGAATTTCCACCCCAGTACTCTATTGAAGTCCAATGCAAGGACTTGATGGCATTAGGATTGTGGAGAGGGAAGAAAAGCAAAAAACACAGAATAATGGGAGCCACTGCCAATGAGAGAATGGTTCCTCCCACCACCACCCCATAACCCCTAAGCCATGGGTGTCAAACTCACCGCGTCACATGACGTGTCGCGACGTATTGCGACTTTTTTTGCATTGCAGTTGACACCCCTGCCCTAAGCTCTACAGAACATTAGTGTTGTAGCTTGTAGAACAGAAGTTTCGCCCTTGGTATTTGAATCATATGTCAGCAGGATGTCGATCACTTCAATTGTCCAATGTCAAGGACAGTGTACAATTATGGCTTTGACCTGAAAGGGATAGCTAAGCCCCATCTGGAAGTGCTCTGCATCTGGAATTTCTTGCATTCAAGCATAAACTCTAACCTTGAGGTGATTCCCTTCCTAGCCCATATTCCAAGTTACCGAATATTGTACTGTGGACACAGGCAAGTTAAATTGGCTTCAACAACCATCTGCGCCTTTGTTTTGCAAATATGTTCTTTCAAATGGTCACAGCATATGGACTATATGGCACATGATGGATAGGCAAATAACTGCTTCTCATTCATATGTGCATACTGCAGGGAACAATTGCTACGTCCCCAAGATTTATCTGCATAAACGCTTCTTTACATTTAAAATTGTTGTATTTGGTGAACATGTAAAGTGTGAAGCAATACTTTATCAAAATTTTACAGAGCTTTATACAGGTTTACATCAAAAGATTCCCAACAAAATATACATGAAAAAGAAACTAATTATACTCTATATCAGGGGTGTCAAACTTGCAACGTCACGTGACGTGTCGCAACTTATCGTGACTTTTTTTCCATATTCGGCAATGGGGTGGGCGCGGTTTCACATGACACATCCGGCCCGCAGGCTGGCAGTTTGACACCCCTGCTCTATATGAATTAAATGCATACATACTCCTCTTCTCTTTCTTTCCCTCCCCCTTGCCATTTATATAAAAAAGAATATTTGTGGATATATGTCTCTGTTAGGTAAAAGGTAAAAGGAAAGGGGTCCTAATAGACTGTTGGAGTGAGACCTGACATAATATCCACCTTTAAAAAAAAAAAAAAAAAAGTCCATACAGGTTAGTCAGGAATTATTTTATTAATAAGGTAAAATAAAGGTAAAGGAGTCCTTGCAGATTTTACTCCGCTAGTCACTGCCAACTATAAGGGTGGTTCTCATCTCCATTTCAAGACCATTGAGCCAGTGCTGTCCGAAGACGTTGCTGTGGTCATGTGGCCAGCATGACGTCATATGGCGCTGTTACCTTCTCACCAAAGTTTTAATTGCATGTTTAATTGCATGCTTTTGAACTGCACGAGCTGGGGCAAGGATGGGAGCTCACTCCCTTTGTGTGGTACTTGGGTCTCAAACCTGAGCTGCTGGCTTTCCAACCAACAAGCCCAGGATCTTAACCACTGAGCCACCCCACTGCCCATTTTACTAATAATACAGCATAAATTCAAAAAAAGACAGAGATAAAGTTTTTTGCAATGCAGCTAACTTTATAGAGAGTTGAAAGAGGGCAGGACAAAAAAAAAAAAGATTCTGTGGGAACCACATAGTACATGCAAAGCATTTCTGATGTCTTAGAGAAGAGCATCCCTACAACTAACTCAACTTCTGGAAAATGATGCTTCCCTAATCACCGCCCTCTCCTGGTCTTTTCCTTAACTATCAAATCCAAAATCAAATGAAGGAGTGGGAGGCATTACATCTATGATGCTTTTGACTCAGCAGAAGGTAATAGGGAGGCTGGAATCGAAAACAGAACCTTTCAAGAAGCTAACACCAAACCAGAACTTTACATAGTACTTTTACTATATACAGGTAGTCCTTGACTTATGAGCACAATGGAGCCCAAAATTTCTGTTGCTAAGTGAGATAGCTATTAAGTGAATTTTGCCCCATTTCTTGCCATAGTTGTTAAGGGAATCACTGCTTTCCCCATTGATTTTGCTTGCCAGAAAGTCACAAAAGATGATCACATGACCCTGGGACACTGCAAGCATCATACATATGAATCAGTTGCCAAGCATCTGAATTTTGATAACATGACCATGGGGATGCTGCAATGGTCATAAGTGTGGAAACCGGTCCATAAGTCACTTTTTTCAGTACCATTGTAACTTCAAACATTCACTAAATGAACTGTTGTAAGTCAAGGACTATTTGTACATCTTTCCAATATAAGTTGTTCTAACCTGAAGCCTCATTAATCTTCATCGGGGGAAAAAAAATCACTGTGGTTCTATTTGTCAATTGAAAAACATGTCTTATTCTGGACAACTATACACCAAGGCCATAAATTAGCCTAAGTCAGAGTCTGCAAAACAAATCAGGATGGGTATATGTGTTTGAGTTATAAACAATATCTGATGACACACATGATTGCTTAACAAGTTACTCATTCATTGCTCCCATGATAGGTTTGCCAAGTTAGGTATTAGAGAATACCAATATAAAGTCAATCTACTAATGAATAATGTGCTTGGGTTTTCTTTACCAGAGACCTTCAGCTGAGCTCTTGTTCTGCAATGCATCTTTCTTTCACATACCTGGAGAAAGTTTTGCCAGGCACCTCAAGATATTTTGGGTAGCCAAACAAACTTAACAAAGCAAATGGGATGTGATTTGTCAGAGAGTCATGTTATAATTTCATTGTGAAGTACACAATCCCTTTATTGTGAGTCTGTTTGGAAAAATAATCAGAGCACTCATTCTTTTTAAAGTCCTGCTATATGAAATACTTGCTGTAGCGTATGCTGAGCATGGAATTGTGTACTGCAAAGCTTTTGGAAGGAGTGAAACTCATTTCAGAAAACCTTATCAACTAAGGCATCTAAGAACTTGTTGGGAGCTGTGAGGGGCAGAACTGCTCTCATTGCTGTAAATGGTATTAATCCTCTTTTCCATATAGAATAGAAACAAGCTTTTATGTGAGTTGTTGAGTACCCAGAAAGATTGTCTTGGGGTAATGCATAAAAAGATGAAACATGAGGCCATCCCTCTTCTCTGACAGATCTACAATCCAATCCCCCCCCCCCGAAATATACCCATCCTAACATCTAACTTCTCCTTTTCTCTCATTTGTGATCTTGCCCTTTGGATTGGTAAACCTAAACCTGTTCCTAGTCTTTAGTGATTGCTCAGAAACACCAGCCATTGGGGTATGTGTGGTCCAACAAACATATCTCATTTCTTCTTTCTTTCTCCTATGTCAGGGGTAGGCAACCTTGGCTCTTTTATGACTCGGGGACTTCAACTCCCAGAATTCCTGAGCCAGCATGGCTCAGCTTGGAAACCTCTCCCTTTCCCCTCAGCATGGCTGGCTCAGGAATTCTGGGAGTTGAAGTGCACGAGTCATAAAAGAGCCAACGTTGCCTACCCCTGTTTATGTCATCATCATGCTACACTGCAAAGACATATTCAGACTAATCATATAGGGAGCAGTGGAGGAAAGATGTGGGGACTGAGGTAAGAGTCTAAACAAATAACTCTCCTTTTTTTTTTTAGTAACGGACCTGCCCGGCGTCATGCCGAATATGAAAGACATGCTGACGGCACCTATACCAGTGACATCAGCTCTTACTTGGAAGGTCAAGCTGCTAAGGAGTTCATTGCTTGGTTAGTGAATGGGCGAGGAAGAAGAGAGTAAGAAACCATCTATTGCTACTATTGTTAAAAATTTTCTTAGCTTTGTGGAGTTTTTGCCAATCGAAACTCAATGGAGCTGCAATGTATTTCCCCTCCTTTGCTTGCTGTATTTCATACTTCACTTTTGAAATTAAAAATGTTTCACAGGCATGAAATGATCTAAGTGCCCATTAAAAAGCAGGTTTTAGGTGCACTGTAGTGTTGCATACATGAATAGATCAAAATTCTCCATTAGGCCAAGTCATACAGAAGACCAATTAAATTCTCATTTTTTTGTCTGATTTCCCCCCCTTATTCTTATAATTATTAGATCTGTTGCCCCAAATCTCTCGCACGGTCTTTGATTACGTTGCAGTATCCTGCTTTTTTTTCCCCCTAATGTTTTTGTTTGTTTCCCAAAGTTTGTGCATATTGCTCCTCCCTGAACTTCTTCTTCTTCTTTCCCTCAAGTATCCTCAAGAAGTTGCTGTGAAGCTCATTATCACACTGTCAGTCTCTTTCCACTCCTTTTAATGTTTTCTTTTTACCTTCCCACTCTCATTCTGCAATATATTGAATATTTACCCCTTACCCAGCCTCAAAGCATCCCATAACTTTAGACTGCCAACACCTCTGTCAGTAACCTGTACTCCATCACTAACCACCTACATCGTGTTCTCACCATCTTCACGAAAACAACCTCCCCTTCTTTTTTGCTCCTTGGATCGTTATACCTACTGCTGACTCGAATCGATCTTTCTTGGCAACTGAACATTTGGAACAACATTTTTCTGGCTTCAATCCCTCCATCCCACCAATCCCACTCACCAGTCCTCACCACACACACACACACACACACACATCACCTTGCTTGAGGGGCCTGGCCATTGAACATCTACTCATCTTTGAACTTCTTTACACCTTTAGACTGTGAGCTCTCTGGAGCAAGGCTTCACCTTCCTTCTCCCTTGACTCATGTCTCCATGTCTACACTTGTAATAGCACCATGCATGTCACTGGCACTCTATAAAATTTTATTATTATTGCCGTCATCAGCCTAATAAAATAAGTTCTGAGAGTCAACTATGTCTCTTGAAATTAAGGAAGCAAACCTGTGAAAAGATATTTCTGGAACACCTGGTTAGGATAACCCAGTGGGCATCCTTTGAGAACATTTCTTAGAATAAGATTGGAGGAGGAGGAGGAGGAGGATAGAGGCTCCAAACGCATCTATTTATTTATTTATTTTAATTAAAAGTGAAGAAGCAGTTTTGTGAGCATCACAAAGGTTAGAACTTTTGCTGCTTTATGTTGCTTAATATTGGAAATCAGTCCCCTTGATCTAATAAAGAACAGCTATCCAGAACTGGCAGGCCATTACAGAACATGGCAATAGCACTTAGATTAATATACCGCTTCACAGTGCTTTACAGCTCTTTCTCTAAGCAGTTTACAGAGTCAGCATATTACCCCCAACAATTTGGGCCCTTGTCTTACCCATTTCTGAAGGATGGAAGGCTGAGTCAAACTTGAACTGGTCAGGATCAAACTATGGCAGTGAGCCTACAATACTGCATTCTAACCACTGTGCCACCACATCAACATCCTTCTTTGTACTTCATTGTTATTGTTTTTTATTTTCCTTAGGGACACATCACTGAGAGAATCACTAAGCGTCACACATAACCGATTTATAATGAACCTCTTTTGTTTAACAAAAATAGTAAGATTTAGCAGAGGAACTAAGGGAATGCTGGAAATACAAAGCTGTACTCACTCTGAATCCTAGGAGCAAAGGATTAGATCATTGCCATGTATATTCTTAGTACTACTTCTCTTACTGGTGTTGGCTTCTTTCACACTATTTGTATGTGTGCCATATTTTTAATTCACATTCTTTTGAGGCAGCTTGGCAGATCTTCGAAATTAATCTTGTTCTTTTGCGTTAATGGAATCCAACTCTGATGAGAACTATCACACATAGCTGTGTATTCCATTCATATGTCTGTTAAAAGAAACATTCAGTTTCATAAAAGCAAATCAGGATTTTTCCTTACACTTATCTTGCAGATCTTCAAAAGTATTTAGGAAACAATATAGCAGCATATTACAAATTCTCAGCAAAAGTATTGGCACTATCCGATGTTGCTAATAGCATGATCTACCTACATATTTCCGCCTTCCCTAACTATTGTTTTTAATTTGGAGTTGGAAAAGACATTGATGAATGGAATCATTGGTTCAAATAGAAGAACATTTAATTGGAGCAATTTTAGGTTTCGGTATAATTACTACTTCCAAGAGTAATACTGAAACTGTCAGGCTCATAAAATATCTTTTCTGCTACTGACTTATAAGCAAGAACTTTTGTCACAAAATATTAATTCTGGTATCAAATGGGGCTTATGATCCTGAGAAATATTATTGGTCAACAATAATTAAAAAGTTCAGGCTTTTTTATATGACACAGAGGGTTCTTTACTGATAAGATAAATAACCTTGTCCTCTGAGAAGACAGATTTCAGAGAATGAAGCAACATTTTTTAAAGTATCCTGCAACAAAGTTCGCTGGTTGTTAATAGATTGGCACAGAATGTCCTCTCCCCGTGATTATGGCTGAGCACAGATTACAATCTATAAAGAATTTATTCCAAGTTAAAAGAAGAGTTATGGGTTGAAGTGTTCCCCAGGTCAGCCAACAGGAATTAACTGTTGGAAGAAGAACATAGAATTCATAGAAGTTAATAGTGTCACTGAAATCTCTTTTAAGAGAGAGAGAGATTAAGCATGGAAATGCTAATCTCCACAGAGGGAAGTTGATGAGTTTAGTAGTAGCTAAGTATATATACATGTGGCTTGATATAAATTAACAATTCTTCTCAATATGGATTAGTTAAAGCAAAAAATATTTTCATTTGGATGAAATAGCTGGATGTGAGCTTTAATCCGTGCTGTAAAATCATCTGATCTTTAAAAATGCTTAAAGTCCTTGAAGTGCATACAACATTTCTCTTTATTAATTATATTTTTTAAAAAAGAAGCTGATTTTGATACATGAAATACTAATCTAGGGATTGTTTTAATGAAGGTTGATCGTTAAGAAATACAAAGCTTCTGTTGTGGACCTTTGACATTTATTTTTTTTAATCAACTGTAAAGATATTATTTGTCCCTTTGTCTCTTTTAAGTTTCTCAGAAGGACCCCAAACAGGTGAAGATCTTGGTCGAAGACATGCAGATGGCACTTTCACCAGTGATTACAACAAACTCCTGGATGACATAGCTACCCAGGAATTCTTGAAGTGGCTGATTAACCAAAAAGTTACCCAGAGGTGCTTGAATTTTGGCTAATTTTGGTCAATACTGTTCTTAAGTAGCCTCCAGCAGGACAGAAAATTTTCATTTGTTTCTGTATTGCTAGTAATATTACAATACTTTATTAGTACAGTTGGCTAATATAGTATACTTAGTAATCCCCTTATGTTATCCAGAGTCATGGTTGTGAGATGGTTGGCAATATAAATTATTTAAATACATTTAAAAAAAAATAGTATTCACTCCCATGTACATTGTTTTGAAGAGTTGTGGTCATAGAGGCAGGGGCATCCATTGGGGAAGTAAAAATAATAATCATCTCAATATAGTAGCCACAACAGCATAATTGAAATTGCCATCTTTATACATTTTTTGAAATTCTTCCCCACTGCAATATTCCTGAACTGATGGCTCTTATTCTTTAAAAATCCTTTTTTAAGAAGAGCACAGCTATTCTCCAGAGGCTTCTGTGGATTCCATGTGTTTTCTTCTATCAGTAGCTTCAAGCTACTGTCTGGTTTTTGCAAACCAGCCTTTAAAAAAAAGTGTACAGTACATTCAAAAACATTTTTTTCTTATTTTTGCATGAAAAGGCTGTAGTAGGAGTTTCTGGCAGGGAAAAATAATGAAGAAACCATTAGGAATGCTTCTAGATATTCTGTGCATATTTTATTTAATACTTCGGGGTTTTTTTCTCTATTAAGGTCAGGGTGAACCTATATCTCCCACTCCCCATATTATTTTCACAATAGTCTGTATATAGGTTAGGTTGAAAATTTACAAGTGGTGCAAAGTCACAGCATTATTTTCTCACTGAATGGAAATTTGGCCTGAATGGATATTTAATTTCAGATTTCTAAAAAATGATAATACTGACTTATCATTAGGTAGGGGGGGAAAGCACACTTTTTTTTTCAGCCAAGAGAAACAGTTCCTCATGATTCATCATCCAGGAAAGATATATCACCAATAGGGGACCAAGACCACCTTCACATCCATTTACCAATCTACATCCTTACATGGCAATAACATGCATCCCTTAGTCCACTCACTTAGCCTCATCCAGTGCTTTTTTTGTAAAAAAAAAAAAAAAAAAAAGGTGAGGGAACGCACACACGTCATACAACCTTGCCTACCCTACAAGGTTCCATCCAAAAAAAGTGACGGAACTCCATTCTGGGTGTTCAATGACAAAAAAAGCCCTGGCCTCATCTATAGAGTAGGGGCTGGACTAAACAAATGCATCTGAGAGTCCACAGATAGGTTTTCAAACCATAGTTATATTTTTTTGCGATTGTTCCCTTGCAGAACAGCATCACACTACCAGAGGCTTATATTATTGGTATGCTACTGTATATACCAACTCTAATATACTATACTAGCTGTTAGTAAACTTATTCTGCTACAACTTTTCAAATTCTCCTTTTAAAGGCATCACCCTGATAATATAGCATTCTTTAAATTTTCACTTGGTACTTCAAACTTGTGATAGACTACAGTGAAGTGGCAATTTCCCAGGAAGGAGGGAACATTCCAAAGGAGAGGGTGAGACAAGAAGCAGCACAGCCCGAAGCTGTATAGGAGACAGAGGAAGAGGGTGAAAATAGTCACTCCCTAGAATCTTCCAGGGTATATCCATTAGGGTGAGAGTTGTAAAGGTTTACTCTGGCAAGAGTCTGTCTATTTGATGTGAGCAAATAAAGAACTGACTTTTGGCTGGATTCTTTTAACTCAGGGCTTTTCAACCTTTTCATCCATTGTACCACTTTTAGGATATGGCAACATCCAAGTACCACCAGTCGCCTAGCAAGGTGTCAAAAACTTGATAACATCCCCCCCCCCCAAAGAAAAAAAGTGATAAAGTACAGGTAGTCCTCAACTTACAACAGTTCGCTTAGTGACTGTTCAAAGTTACAATGGCACTGAAAAAAGTGCCCCCCAAGCCACAGCCGAACAAGATACCTGCCTGCCCACCTGGCGGCACTTTTCCTCCTGTCTGAGGTTTTCATTGTTGTGATCATTTCTGTTGAGGATTGGCAGTGGGGGTGGGATGGGGGGTGTTTGGTTTTTATTCCCCCCGTCTGCTGGGTGGTTGCAGCAGGTTTTGGTCACTTTACATGACCCTAGGACACTGTGACCATCATAAATATGAATCAGTTACCAAACATCTGAATGTAAATCACAAGACCCTGGAGATGCTGCAACATTCCAGCTGATCGGTGCTTCTTCTGGGCTCAGCAGAAGCACCAGGATCAGTGCCGAGCTCCAGCTGGAGCCTGGCGCTGCTCCTGATGCTTCCACTGAGCCCTGACAGTCCCGAAGAAGCGCTGATCCTGGCGCTTCCGCTGAGTCCTGACAGTTCTGCAGCTCCAGCCATCTCTCGCTCAGACTTGTGCAGTGCTGCCACCGGTTCAGCTCATTCCCGTTCCCCGCTACCACTTTTCTAGGATGGTCGCGTACCACCTGCCAGGTGCTAATGTACCACAGGTGGTACCCGTACCACTGGTTGAAAAGCCCTTTTTTAACTCATTCTTGTCTGACAAAGTAAATTTGCTCAACCGTAATTAATTGCTATTATTACAAGCAACATTGATTGTGGATAAAATTGATACAAGATTACAACCTAACCTGTAAGTAGGATTTAACTTTGGCTACATTGCGTACATTTTTAAAATTCACTTTGGACAATTATAGACATACAAAATTGAAGAAACCATTACAGTTTTATAGAAAGTGATATCAGCTATTACTGTTAATTGAAAAACTGTATGTATCCCTTCACAGGAATTATATAAATCTACTTAACAATGTGTTTCTCCTTAACTTTTTGTTTTCTTTTGATTCTAGGGACCTTCAGGGAGAGTACCAATAAGATGCAGTAAAAACATGGATCAAGGTCTTCTCTATATCCACTCTCAGCCACTGGAATTTATTTTTGAATTTTGAATTTTCATATTTTTTTCTCTGTATTCTAAAACCACAGATCTTGACATGCAATGAAATGAATTTCACTATTTGATCCTACTACGGAGGGATTTTAAAATGAGTGTCTCCTTGTCAGCTGGAAATAACTAAAATCACAATATTACCAGTCAAAAGGTTCAGTTTTCAGATCTTTCTGAAAGATCTTTAAGGAAGTTCTCAAAATGGGACCCAAGCAAATGTATTGACAAGACCATTGCTTTATTTTATTTTCTAAAAAGATAATATGTATATAGAAATGATGCACCCAACCAATATGAACCAATATCAACAGCAAGGCTGGAAGTTTAAATTGCGGGGAAATGTCCTTCTTGAAACCTTTGTTATAAAAAGACTCCATTCTCCAGACCATCAGTGAATAGCCTTTAATAAATGAATGAATAAATAAAACAAATTATACTGCTTTTTAGGCGTCCAACTTTTTTTTAGCTGAATTTTTGCTGTCTCTTTTAAAAGTCCTATAAGAACATTGCATGAATAATAAAAAGCCTTATCAAAATCTATTCAGTTCACTATTCTTGTTTTCAAGAATGATGAATTGACCCTTCTTTCGAGAACTCATTATTGTTAGTACAGTCTTTCCACCCTGGTACCCTATGGAAAACTCCCATAATTTCCAACCAAGAACAGACTGGAAATTATAGAAACTGATATCCAACAGCCTAAAAAGAGAGAAATCTACTCTTGAATTTGGCTGACATTTTAGGAGATAGATATTTTCACACATACGTACACAAAAACACACATCTTATGTCAGATTGTGTTTACTTTAAGCTATAATGAACTTTTAAAGCCTTCCTTCTTGAAAAACCAGTAGTTGTTTTCTTCCATTTTATAGCCGTGGTGTGAAAGTCTGCTACATGCTACAACTAATAAAAAGGGCCCCTTTTAATGGTATGATTTCAGACACTTAAGTGAGCAAGAATTAGCACCTAGCTGTATTATATTTCATGTTCGTATCTTTATTTTTACGCCCTAGAAAGTATTTTCTAAAAGCAAGTTAGATTTTTAAACTATGTCTGCACACAAACCTTACAAAAGAAATGTTTTTTATGAAAAGTTTTTATACTAAAATGATATAGTAACCAGCAACAAAGACAGCTGTAAACAGCAGGTTTTAGCTGAGGAGGAGGAAGAAGAGGAGGAGGAGGAGGAAGAGTCATTATTTCTAATGCTGGATAGAATAATTCTTTCTACATTTCAATAAATTAAACTTTTCAGGGTGGTGGATAATAAAGAAGCATTTTCAGAGGATAAGCCGCTGCTAGGCAAAGTTAAGCACATCAGGAAGCAGCCAGACATATATGGACCTCTACATTTAAAAACATGACGTTTTAAAAACATTAAACTCTGCCAGACTAGTGATCTCAATGTTTTTACAGCACTTCAGTCCTTCCACAAGATGAATTTGCTGAGAAGCCTTCACTACCCCTAACTGTTCTGGAAACAACAGTGCTACAATTATAGATCCCTGGTACAAACTCAACATTCTTAGCCCGACATCTGGAAAAATTTGTTGAGGCTTGGGGGGGGGGGGGAAGAAAATTGTCTGGATCATACTTTCCTTTGCAAACTATGCAAAATTCAAAATAAATGCACTTCTTTAGAAATTGTGCCCCAATAGGGTGATCATCCTGAGGAGAAATAAAGCCATGAAAGAGGAGTATGTGATTCTGTCCACTTTCACCCAAATAATAAAAGGTTAGAAAACTGACACCAAAAACTAAGAATGAAAGAAAAGTTGTGCTGCATTTGTTTAAGAGACTGTTTGGTTCAGAAAGAAACAAACCATCTTGTGCTGCCACACCCCAGGAGCTGGTATTTAAAATATGCCAACAGGAACACCACAAGACTGCTAATGAAACAAAAGACACGATGTGTAAAAATGCTTAAGAATATCTACTACCTGCTTTTTTGTGCAAAGCTACACACAGCCTGTCAGTGAGCTAGTTCTGGAACAGGTTAGCAGTTGATGTGAGACTGTCCCTCCAACTGACAAAAGTCAGGGGCAACATACCACAGGGTATGTTTTTATGACTGTAATATGGAGGAACCTTCATGCATATTGACTGTTGGCTGCCATTCCTGCAAAGCACAGTGTACAGCAGTGTTTATTGTGTCCAGGCCAGTAATCTCTCTGTTCTCAAATATAACAGTAAAAGAGTTAGAAGGGACTGTGGAGATCATCTAGTCCAACCTCCTGCTCTCACAAGAGACTTATACTCTTTCTGATAGATGGCTGTCTGGTCTCTTCTTAAAAGCCTCCCACAATTTCCAAAGGCAATTTGTTCCACTGGTTAATTGTTCTCACTGTTTAGGAATTTTTTTCCCTTAGTTCCATGGTGCTTCTCCCCTTGGTTAGTTTCCATCCATTGTTTCTTGTCCTGCCTACAGGTGCATTGGTAAATAAATTGGCCCCTTCTTCCTTGTGGCAGGAAGACTGCTATCATGTCACCCCAAGTCCTTCTTTTCACTAAACTTGTAGATTCAAGTTCCTGCAATTGTTTTAGCTTCTAGGCCCCTAATCATTTTTTTTTTTTGCTCTTCTCTAAACTCTTTCCAGAGTCTCAATATCTTTTTTGTATTGGGGTGACCAAAACTGGATGTAGTATTCTAACTGTGATCTTACCAAGGGTTTCAAATTATTCATCAACCCCCAATTACAATTATTTTGTAAAATAGTTTAATAAATACCTATAGTACTACAATTAATTATGACAGCAGCAACAATAATGGATGATCCCATCAATTCTTGGGTGTGTGTCTGTCAATATTAGCCACTTCTAGAGTCTTGAGAAAACTTTCCTCAAAGATGTTTCCTTAAGGGCTATAGAGGTCAATTATTCTTAATTACAAATAATTCTATAAATGAAGCTTTGTCTTTTTGCATCTTAATCCATCCTGTGCATTAATTGAAAATCTTCAGTGCTTTATATTGGCTGTTTAACTGTATTATCCTCCATGTCATAGCACTGGCATTCTTTTTTCCTATAACAAAAAAAGCTAAGAGATTGTTTTAAATCAGGGACTGGAAATTTTTGCCTTTGTGTCCAAACTC